TATATATAACTATATATATATAAAGGATATATAAAAGATCAAATGTACAGTTTTAACTTTCCCCAAAAAATTTCCAACATGGAGTCAACAGGCCGCTCCAGTATATTGCACCACCCTGAATATCCAAGGGTTCATTTTCATCGGGACTCTCTTTTAGGGGATATTTTATTTGTTCTTGTATAATGTAAAAGGTTAAATAGGCTAAATTATCTGCTTTGTTTTGGGGGGTTAGAATGGGTTGTTTAGGGGCCTTCAACATGCATGTTAGTTTCTGTTAGGGTTAGGGTTAGGGTTGCGTTTCTCTGCCTCATCAGTGAGAATAAGTAAAGATCAGGAAAAATAACAAAGCAATATTGAAGGTGCATTCATGATGTTTGAAAGTTAAAATCTCATCACAAGGTTCATTCACATGGTGGATTGAGTTTGTGCAATTAGACCTAAAAATATATAAACATCTGCAATTCAATGACAACTGAGCAAACTGCGTCTGCTAAGAAAGATCTTGTGATACTGTATTGTGATATCATCAGTTATATGGACATTGGGGAGATTATTTTAGTAAATATGTGAAGATTCAGTGTGCAAAAGTTTATTTGTCAGTGTGGGTGTAGACATAGGTTAAACAAGTACATGCCTAATTATATATATATTGATTTTTTAGGAGGATACCATTGTATTATATTTCCATTACTTCTATAGTGCTGTGCACAGAGCACTACATTGTTAGTGAGTTTGGATGTGAAAATGTATCTTATTGGATGACAGGGCAGGGATAATGGTGTCAGGTGATGCAGCGGCAACCACTACTCTCTCTATTTTGCCTCACTGTGGAGAAATCTCTGGTCTCTCAACCCGGATGCTGTGCCACAACTAATTCTGCCCAGTGCGCAGCGCTGTACACTGAGCAAGGCGGCGGAAATATTTCAGTACCCTTGAGGCGGACAGCTCTCCCCGGATCCACACGCTGCTGACCGCCGGGCTCCGCCGCATCCGAGCCTGGAGAGCAGGGGGACCATAATTCATAGCTTTAAAAAAAAAAAATAATAATAAGGTGGGGGGGAGGGTGTAGCCGCCACATTAACTGCAAACACATCGTGACCACTTGCACGCCGCTGAAGCCGTAGTGGAAGGGTGAGGAAGAGGGTGAAAGAAAGAGAAAAGGGGAGCAGAGCAGCATCACTACAGAGAGAGATGGCGGAGTGCGGGCGGAAGGCGCTGTCTCTCCTGGAAGCGGCCCGCTCCCGGTACGAGAGCCTGCAGATATCCGACGACGTGTTCGGCGAGTCCGGGGATGACAGCAGCGACAATCCCTTCTACAGCACCTCCGGAGACTCCGACTCCGACAACTACATAGCCGAGGTTGGCGAGGAGGAGCAGCAGCAGCAACCGAAGCACCACCACCAAAAACGGGGAGATAAAGACAGCGGACACAGCTGGGCAGCAGGAGGCGGCGGCGGGAGCAGCGGAGCCGGTCCCCCGGGCTCTCTGTCCCGTAGTCAGGCAGAGGAGGAGGGCTGGACGGAGACGCTGCAGGATGTCACGGTGCCATCGTACAAAGAGACATATGGTGAGACGTGATGCACGACCAAGATGAATAAGGTCATTTGCGCAACGGGGAAGAATTGGGTGGGTGTGAGGTGGTGGATCGGGCAGAAACAGTGCAGTCCACGCTCGGGTTTTTCAGGTCTGGCAGGCCATTGATGTGGAACTCAATCTGGTGCCAAAATATACAAAAGGATGTTGCTATGGGACATGCTTGTTTGCATTTTCGTGTGTGTGTGTGTGTGTGTGTGTGTGTGTGTGTGCATGCACCCTCCTTGTGCGCACGCGTGTGGGTGTGTGTGTGTAGTGACAGAGAGAAGCATGACACTGCATCGTTAATTGCTGTATTAAGTTAATGGCAGACGCTTAGCCTTTGATACTTCACCCCTTGGTGCTGTGGTAGCTACACATGCCGTCCTGTGTGTGTGCTCCTGTTTCAGTGCAGTTGCAGGGAGACATGCTGTTTAATTTAGAGAAACAGCATGTTGTCTCTTCCTGCTTCTACACACACATCAAACACATGAAGTCTGGTGTATGTATGCAGAATACATGCACAAAGACTTTGTCTGAATTGGTGTTGCACACTTTATCTTTGAGTGTGTGTGTGTGTGTGTGAATACGGAGACCTGTGTGTGTGTATGTGTGTGTGTGTGTGTGTGTGTGTGTGTGTGTGGTGTGTTGTGGTGAGGAATCGTTGACAGAAAGAAGCACTGTGTGCACCCACACTGCTGTCTCTCTGCCTTTCTTTGCCTCAGTCTGTCTTTGTGGTAAATGCCCAAAACCATCACCTCACAAATTGTCCTCATGCTGTGAAAAAAACCCGTTGCTAGTCAACATGTGCCTACAGTTAGTCTCTACCGAACAGTTTTTATCCATTTATCTATCACTTAGTACAGAAAGTGCAGCGTTTTCTGTCAGGCTTTGTTTGGATTTTTTGTCTCTACTCTCCCATTTCTTCTGTAGCTGATGCAAAAGTGATTGGTGGAAATGCCATCCTGTATCCACCATGACATGTTGCTCTGTGGCACCCTTGGAGGTGAACCAACATATGGCTGTAGCAGATGTAGACCAAACCCCACTCTGCTCACACATTGAAAACAAGCATGAAACCCTACATTCATTTACAAATGTATAAAAGCACAATTGATTATAGGCAAAGTGCCAGGAGACCACTGGAAATGTATTGCTCTGGTTGTTTTCAAAGATTTGTTTTGCCAGCTGTTCGCTAGCAGAAAAAATGCACAGCTTCAGAATTCAAAATAAAAGACCAGAAATGATCATGAGGTAAGAGTTTTTAACCACCGTGGCTGCTGTTGGAGGCGGCTCCCAAATCAAAGGTGGTGGCATTGGCCCGTCTCAGAAAGCAGCATTACTGAGCAGGACGCCAAAGAAAACCTGTTACAGATTTGATTTCCACTCGGTCCAGTTTTCCAGCTTACTTCAGTAATCCTGCTTTGTGAGACGAGGCCTAGTTATGGGATATAGTGGAGTGGAGCCTATGTCACTTATCCAAAATAATCTGAACCAAACTGAGCTGAGTGAGTCGGGGCACCACAAGTGGTCCTTCCGTGAGAGAAAAGGCTCAGGATGTTCTGTACTCCCATACCACATCCTGCTCTCTCCTGCTCTATTTGTCTCTTTTTGCTCTGTTGACTTAAGCTAGAGAGGCAGCAGGTGTGTCTGTCTGCTTTATATGGGCTGTTCTGGTTTGCAGAGATACAGCTAGTGATTATTTGCACAAGCAGAGTCAGTGTGGGTGTGGTCCCCATCCTGCATCAGGGCTGAGATGATTAACTGCTAGGGAGCAGATCACACTTCAGACCTCAAGTATCCAAGAGCGTACTCCGATTTAATCGGCCTAAACAGTAAAGATTGACCACATCCTGAGTACCAGCATATCCACAGAAATATGCTCCTCCCCTGATTTTAATGCCTTGCGATGGGAGGCTGCTTAAGCTAGATGAGGCTTCCACTAAGTCGACCTACTGTTGAAATATGAGCAATATTTTTATTATTTGTCTGGATTTCTCTATCTAGCTATCTGTCCTCCTGTCTGGCAGTCTTTCTGTCACCTGCCTTTCTTTCTTCCTGTACATTTCTCTGTCTGTCTTACTGTCTAGCCGTGACAGTGCTGACACAGATGCAGTGTTGATGTGACAGCCCACTCCTTAGAGACTGTACATCCCGTACATAAATCATCAGCCACCAGTCAGAAAGCATCGAGTCCACCTCATATAGACTGAAAGATTCCAACTGCTTTGTGTTTCGGGTTTGTTTACATTTACAGTACAGCGGCAAACCCTCCTTTGGTTTTGAGCAAGCAGCAGAAGTTTGAAACCACGGTCGAGTTCATAGGTGATGTGTTATCTTAATCTCAGCATGAGAGTATTTCCCCTGCAGTGCAAGAGTGGTAGCAAAGGGCCAAGCCAAGGATTATGAAGCATACATCCAGATCTCAGATTATATAACCACTTTATCGTGATGTTGATGGGAATTAAAGAGCTATTTATTCATTCGCTTTGCTGAGCGTGTCTGATAGATTACTGGTACTTTCCATATGTCAGTTTATCTGCTTGACCCATGTATTTCAGTCTGTCTTGTTTGCATGTTGCCTCTTGCCATTGCAGAGCCATTTGGAAAAACTGTACTTACTCAGACACACAAAGTGAAACTTGATAGTATTCTCTTTTAAGCATTTATATATGGAAAGCTACTGTAAGCTTTATTTACTGGCTGTTTGCTTGCATTTATTAAGTCAAACTTCAAATAGTCCAAAGAGTCGCAAAACCACAAAAGAGGAAAAACTAAAATAAAAGACACAAATTCAATCAAATATTGGACCTATATATGCAATGACAAAAAAGTCTAAAATTGAACAAACTTTAAATAGCATAAAACAAACTTATAAAACAAAACAAGTGTTATGCATGACAGAGGAGAAAAACACTGAATGGTAATATAACTTATTTCTATAGCAGTCTGTTGACTCTCAGTGGAGCTGTATTGTAATGATATGAATGAATGATGCCACAAAATCATATAAGTGATATCCAGAATGCTGCATATACATTTTCAAACAATTGTATAATAATTCCCAAAATAGAGGAAAAAAAAATTTCACAATCACATTTTTAGGTTTTCATTATATATTACAAAACTAAAATAAGTGCACAAGAATCTGATATGATATAATACTGTATGATATACAGATCTGGACACAGTTCCATAAACCTGTATACCATTTCCAGATACTGGTACTTTTTTGTCCATTATCGCTGACAAAACATACTGGAGGAATCAGAAAAAATACTAATTGAATAAGCCATTTGGCTTTCTCTTCCAGACTTTTAGGCACGGCTAGCTCACTTCAACACCTAAAAATTAGACAACAATTTAAATTTGTTATCCATTTCTGGATTTTGCAATACAAAGGTCTTATATGATTTTGTGACTATTCCACACAACTCTGTTGTCAAAATAAATTACTCCAAGCTAGCTATGATTTAAAAACAAAGGGATTTGTTAAAGTTTGTATTTTATACATGTGAAGAGGTTTATCTGAGGAAATGCATAGCAGTAGAACACATAATGTCACATGTGATTTGGTTCATTCTAAATATGATATACTGTATATTGACATCAATTCACAATATTAATATTGTGGCATTAATTTAAGCCTGGAATTTACACTTGTGCCCTTTATGTAATTTCTGCTAAAAAGCATGTTTTCGTCTACATAAAGGGTTTATCCCTCCCAGCTACATGGTAATCTCTCATTCTTAAATCCATGGCTATAAAAGCTCTACCAGGCAGATGTTTGTCCCTCGACAATAAAAAATACTATAACAGCTGAGAATCGTGAGGGATTATGATTCTGTCTGTATGTGCAATGTAGGTGGAGTTTTGTAATGAGTAACTTGGGAAATATTGATATTCAAAAGCTTTCCTCGCAGACAAACATCTTATAATATTAGTAGTCTGAAAGAAGAGTTCAGTTCCAGTTTTATCAGAGGGATGGAGGCTGGACTGAAGATCAGCTGAGAGGGACGTATAAAGGAAAATCTATGGAGGACACAGAAACAATTCCATTATCCATAAAAATGATGAGTCCTTCCTCAGGTTGTATTTTGTTATATAACTCCTGAGATGAGCTGAGGTGAGTCATTTTGCCTCAGTGGACCTTCCATCTGAATGTCTGGTGTTTTATCGAGGAGTGGCTCGCCCAAAGGAAGTTACGCTGGATTTTACATTTAGCTTTCAAGTCTAATGGAATGCAAATGAGTAAATTTTGAGCCGTGCCCTGGCTACTTCTGCTGTCTTGGCCGCAAGCATCTGCTTTGTGGGCGTGCTTGTACTACTTTATCTTTTTCCTCTTCTAGTCCTCCTCCACATGTTGCTTAAACAGTTTAGGTTCAACACTTGTACATGTTATTTAGAACCCAACATTAAAAGACTGAATCAAAAGTCCTATTTTGGTTGCAGCCAACAACTTGACTGGGGAAAAGGATAAAGAGAGGGAGTGAAAACCTTGTTCTGCGCTGGTCAGAGATAATGATACTGCGCTGTTCAATTGAGCCTGGAGTTGATCCACTCAATGTCCAAAATCCCTCTCACAAATCCAACAACCTTTGAGAAAATCTGTAATTTACAAGAGCAAACACATCAAGCCAGTCACTGCATAGAGTATGGACTGTGTGACTTCAGTGCTACCCCTAAAGGCTTACAGACAGAGAGCTTTTAAAGGAGAAGTAAATATCACTTCCCCCTCAGTAGTGAATGACAATATATCAAAGAGGGAAAATAACTTCATAGGAATAGAAGAAAAGTCTTCCCTGTTATCTGGAGAGACATTATATTATATATATATATACATATATTACACCACTATATTTTATCACAATATTATACTGATAACCCATGTGAAAGACATAAACTATTGTTTATGTCTAAACTAACTACTGTTGAGTAGATACAAAAGAGCGTATGATAAAATCATCGGTTATCATAGGAATATTTTAATTAGGCCTTCATGCTGTGTAACATTTAGGAGGGTGTAGGCGACCAGATAAATGTGTCGGCATGTGTAGATAAAAACAATTCATTCCAAGGTAACAGAAACACAACAATTCTTATTTTATTATGACGCACTAATGAAAACATACCTATAAATATTATATTCCATTTCTGCCAATAGATCCTCCTAAATGTTACACACTGGACCTTTAACTGTTGATTAAGTTAGTCTAAGCCTGTCTCAACAATTAATCACTTTTAACAAACAAGCTGCTCTTTTGCACACACTCTCAAACACATGGCATTCTGGTGTTCCAGCTTTTTTAAATAAGTGAAGCCCCAAGACACTGCAGACGTAGCCCCTCAGGGGGAATCACTGGAGGAGTAGTCCACATAACACGGTCTGTTATGTTACACACATACACTATGTGTGTTTGCAAATCCACTGGTTTAAGTGCATCCATGTTCTGGTTAAAAAGGTCAATGTTGATGTTAACAACACTATCTCTCATTAGCTAGTGCTTTACTGACAGTATTTTCTTAGATGCCTTTCATTCATGGCTCCCTCCTGACTCGACTATCAGATCAGACCTTTTGACTCATTGCCTGCCATAACACTAAAGCAAGGAGACAATGAAACCTTCCACAAGTTTAGAAACAGTGTGGTGGCTGTCACATTGTATAAACTTTCTAAACGCTGCCCTGGGCTTGTGAAATTCTCATAAAAAGCTGCTGTTGTTGATTCATGAAAAAGAACAGCTTTTGAAAGTACCTCTCATGATTTAATACAATTTAAGACTACTGTAATTATTTTGTCCTCTCTGTTGTTGTTGCTTCTTTGTATGCGTCCCACACAGCCTTGACAGTGACAGCTCAACAAAATCTAATTTTATCATGTCTTACAGTGTCAAAGGCAAATCTTTTTTTCAGCAAAGTCAATCAAATTGAAGGCCTGATGCCAGAGTTTAAAAACTAGGATTAAGTGACAGTTGTGTCTGTGAATTAGCCCATATGGGATTCTCTGTCTGTCAATCTGTCGGTTTTCCTCTGTCATAGTTTTTCACTCTTTTTCCCTCCTGTCCTGATCCAGGTCCGGCTCAGAAGATGCCGGCCACAGCCACGGCCTTGGACTTCTTCCAGCTCTTCGTGCCAGATAATTGCATCCAAAACATGGTCATCCAGACTAACATGTATGCCAAGAAGTTCCAGGAGCGCTTCGGCTCAGACGAAGGCTGGCGTCCAGTCACAGCCCAGGAGATAAAGGCCTTCCTGGGCTTTGTCACCTCCACCAGCGTGCAGCGCTGTGAGTCGGTGCTCAGCATCTGGAGCTCAGGCTTCTTCAGCAACAGGAGCATCGCCTTGAAGATGAGCCAGGCGCGCTTTGAGAAGATCCTCAAGTACTTCCACATAGTGGCTTTCCGGCCATCACAGGGAAGCAACCAGGGTCTGTACAAGATCCAGCCCTTCCTGGACTCGCTGCAGCAGTCTTTCAGCTGCACCTTCAGACCATCACAGACACAGGTGGGTGCACTCCAGGCCTGGGTTTCCCTAAAGCACCTTATATATTTTTGGACAGCTAGGTGCTACATTCTGCACATATATGTGTATATATATATCACATATTATTAATTTTTCATTCAGTGACTTTGCTAAACTGGCATGGTAGCTGCAGCAGCAGGGTTTTTTTTATTAGCTTGCAAGCCAAGAGATTTCTTGTCTTTCAAGGGTCAGCAAGATTTAACAGTTGACATCAAGTATTATACCTTTTATTATCTCTCATTAACTGGAGAGTATTCCAAGAAATGTGACAAGTATAAAACAACTTCTAGAGCTGATGTGTTGCCTATCAGGTTAGCAATGTAGGTACTGTTTTAATTTAAGGTACATTTATATACATGCCCTTCTAACACAATAGCAAGCTATTTGCTACTGTGAAGTAGGGCGAAACAACTAAATGGCTCCCACAAGGAGTCTCCATTTGAAAACCGTCTACACAGCAAGTATTTACGTGAAGCTCTCATTTTTATCAGACTTTCCCTCCAGAGGACTTACTTCAAGTTGCAGTGTATGTTTTAGATCCACATTTATGCAACTGGGGCAGTGGAGCGCTAGCCTTGCTACTCTATTTTGGGTGGGCTGGAGTTTATTCAGCTCCTGCTTTCCTTTTCTTTCTAGATGAACAGCAAGAACTAATGAATAAACAATCTGATTGGAGTAGAATCTGGTAAACCAAATTAGCACTTCCATATCATTGTTAGTATGTTGTGCAACTTGATTACCGTAACGTCTGTAATGATAGTGTTGTGTTGTGGCAATTCACAGAAGCAAAATAGCTCTAATAGCTACTGATTGTCGGTATTCTCAATTTATCTTTTACTTACCACTGACTCATGAAAAGGGTTGCCATAAAAGTCACACAAAAATTACATTTCACTTCAACATAGCATTCATTGCTCTTCATTTGAGAGCTTTTCTCATTCAGCTCATTCATACATATTTAGAATTTAGTTTTGGAGGAGGGCAACATAGATGGCTACTCATGTGGGATCTGGTATGTCGAGCTCTTAAAAATTAATGAATTTCTGGGAAGTAGTTGATTAAATTGATTTTGGTCTTTCTGCTATATGAGTGCTATAACGTCATCTTCACTGTGAAAGATGATGTCAGGGCTGGGATGCATATGGGAATACAGGCTCTTAACAGCAAACCCCCTCCTCATATCACATCTACATCTCATTCAACTATGTAATTTCACATTCAAAATAGTTTAAATGTAAATGTTGCAGAGTTTATTTTGTTGTGAAGTAATAAAGGGTTTTGGTGAACCATAGTTTCACATTAGTGCTCTCTATCTACTTAGATCTAAAAATGAATAAACTGTAACAATGAGGGCAGAGCGGTTTTCCGACAGCATGTGTGTGTGTCATTAGTAGTGACGGGGTACATGTGCATCTAGGCCAGATTGTGTTTTTTGTGTGTGTTTTCTGTGCCAGGGGCAGAGAGTGAGCCCAGATAGTGAGACTGGCACAGACGGAAACTGTTGCTCCACAGACAATGGAAAAGTAATCTACCCATTTAATGACTAACACAGAAGGAAAAGAGTTGATGCACTGGTTTGAGGCTGCAATAAATGATTATTTTCATTATCGGCGAATCTGTCTCTTTTCCCAATTAATCTGTTCCATCCGGTCCATAAAATAATGAAAAGTGTCCATAATTATTTCAAAAAGCCCAAGCTGACATATTTTGTACCAACAGATACAAAACCAACAATATTTAATTTAATATAGAAGAAAACACAAATTGGTGGGACAAAAGGATTTGGGGCATTTCTTCTTTAAATGACGATTATCGATTATAAAAATAGTCACTGATTAATTTCTGACAATCAATAATTCAACAAATCATTTCAGCTCTATTTTTATTGTAACGAAAGGAACAAGGGGACCGAACTGGGCAGTTAAAATGTTTGTTCAAACATGATATTTCTCTGCATCTGTCACATCTGTGTGACCTGGATTTATTGCATTATTTAACATGATGTTAAATAATATCAGTGCTGAATATTAGCATGTTATGTCAGCTCCTTCTGACAGCGATGACACATTTTCTGTGTCAGGCTGGCAGTTAAGCAGTCACTACGATGATCTGTTGACACTGCTTTTGTATTGATTCGCAAGTGTAAAATCTTTGAGAGCATTTGTCACAGTCGTCACAGAACATCCACTGCAGACAGCAAATGAGTGGATAGATGTTTTTTTCTTCCTTCCCTTGTCCAATATAGAATAAGGGTATCCAAGCAAGGGATTTACTGAAGCATTAATTTACAAATGTAACCACCTTGCTATCAGCTGTTGGAATAGGGCATAGAGAAATATGTGGTTACCAAGAGCATTGTGCTGCAGTAGCTACCGCTGTGCTAATGTAGCTGCTACAGGATGAGATATTCCTTAAAAGGCCATTGTGGTTTGGTTGATGTCGTCCATCCAAAGGCTAGATAGCCTCATTAATTTTCCACTTGTTTAATTCATAACTCTCATATTTGACTTGGAAATAACTTGTTGCTCTCGGTTCTAGAGCTGTAGAGAGCTGTTGGTCACTGTTCATTTCATCTTTAGTCAAATCATAGTGGAGTGGGAGGAGGAGGCAGGGAAGACACCGGAGGAAGGGAGAGAGAAATTTGAAATGCAAATATAATTTGTTGTGTGGTTGAAAGTCTCTCTGGGAAATATTTGTCCATGTTTTATTTTAGGTGTAATCGTTTAAGACAGGGTTAGAGAACATTTGTGTTCTGTTAATGTCTGTTTGTGTGTGTTTGGATGTGTGCCAGTTTTTGAATACTGTCTTTAATCCACATTGAAAAATTTGTCTGTTTTTTTTTTTTTGTAGATGATTGGTTGGATGTTAGAATAGTCAAGCACAGAACATAAAAGTACTGAATTTACTTTGTTCATTTGGTTTTCCAGTGGTTATGGGGGAAAAGATGTCGACAAATAGACAAATAAATTCTGAAGGGGATAACATAAATGCAGAAGTGAAGGACAAAGTAACAACTGAAACAATAGAAAAAGGGAAACTGACAAGAGAGAAGGTATTTTTGAAGGGCTTTGCAGACAGTTGCACAGTTGAGAATGCAGAAATACTCATTTATATATACTATGACTGTTTTTCTCTCTGCAGTATCACACTCAAACACATACAAGACTTGTGAGGATCTTCGATTGGCTGCCGTCTCTTTCTCACCTCTAGCTGTAATGTTACATCATACACAAGCTCATTCCTATCCCTCACACAAAAAGACTTTTTTTCTCCCTTGTTAAGGCCAGATATTTTTGTGTTTCCAGGTTCTTCATGAGCCCTTGATAGACGAGGATCCAGTGTTCATCACCACCTGTACGGAAAGAGAGCTGAGGAAGAGGAAGAAGAGGAAGTTCAGCCTTTGGGTTCGACAGTGCACCTCCACAGGATTCATCTGTCAGGTAGCACCATGCGTTACTCAGTTTGTTTGTGTGTGTGTGTGTGTGTGTGTGTGTGTGTTTGTTACCTTTTGGGGACCTTCTATAAACACTGACCTTGTTGGGACCAGTAGTCCTGAGGTCCAAAGACCAGCTCTAAAATTGTAAGGTCCTGTTTAGGGTAAAGGCTTGGGTTAGGCTGTCCACGATGAATAAATGTCAATGTCCTATCAAATATAGCTGCACAAAGCGTGAAGTGTTTAGAGAAGGAATAAAGTACAAGTTTGTTTGTTTGCTGTGAGGGTTTTTTTATTTCCTGCTTTCAAACTTCATGGTACAAATGTAATATTTTACATCAAATATGCATAAAACATCTGTCTACCTGAGGTCAAAAAGGCTTTCATGAAACTTTGATCTTTACCTAATTTCAAATCTCATTCTTAGGTTGTCGGCGTTGCCTCATTTTGTATTGAGCCAATTACTTGTCGACACTACAAAGAATAAAACCACTTTTCATAAATTCACCATGAACATTTGCAACCTTTACATGCAGAAAATGCAATGACATATTGGTTTATGTCAGATTTTTCTTCTTGATTTTGTTGTAGAGTGGAATAGCTAGGCTCAGGATTAGATCTGTGTTGTCACATCTCAGGCAGACCTGACCAGGCTTTGCTCACTAACAACCTTGCCCTTACTGTAACCTTCCACTCCTATGTCGTCTGCTTATGTAACACCTCCATTTAACTGGGGCCCAGCACTGCAGGACTGACAGACCTGTCCAACTCTGACAATTATCGAAAACAGAGGAAAAACATTAGAAACCACAACTGCAATTCAATTCAATTTCAATTCAATTCAATTCAAAACTATGGCAAACTAATGGGGACCACTGATGCTGGAATAGGGGCCAGGTTGGAAAGCATTGGAAAAACTGGCATGGCTATTTTCAAAGGGAATCCCTTGACCTCTGACCTCAAGATATCTGAATGAAACTGGGTTCTTTTGGTACCCACAAGTCTCTCCTTTACAAACATGCCCACTTTATGCTAATCCCATGCAGTTTTAGGTAAAAACCATGATGTTCTTTGCAGTTATTTTCGCCTGGTGAATATTTCTGGGGCCATAAACAATATTGGAATTGCATAAATTGGGTATGACTGGAAAGCTGAAACTCTTGTGGATTCAATAAGCACATCCATATTCATGTGTGATGATGTTCTTCCCCATAGTAGCCATTTCATTATAATGAAAAACTAAAAAAACTAGAGACAGAGGGCATTCGAAGGATTGACCTGTGTTATGATTCATTAGTGGGATTGATCATTTGAGCATCACAATTTTCATTTTACGGGAATAAAAATACAAGAATCGTGATGATGGGACATCTGTTGGGGTCTATACCAAACAAACATGTTTTCTTACATCTGAGATTTGTAGGATTTGTAGATCTCTGCAGTTCTACTTGACTTCATCATATTGCTGTTTTGTCACACGCTGGATACTGCTCTTGGCAATATTGAGATTTTAATGATGTTTTGATTAATTGTGCAGCCCTAATGACAAAGTTCACTAGCATATTACATCATCCAAAGCT